TATCTGCTTACCTTTTGAACAGGCTCCAGCTATGAACTCTCTTTAGCCACTCAATTACTTCTAATCCTTCCAGCAATATTGTACCCTTTTTCGCTTCCCTTACCTTCAGGCTTACCTTCCCCTTGATTCTCATCTCTTCGAACAGGAAGTTTTTTGCTTCTATCTTCAAGGATTTCCTCCACTGACCTGCTTGCATGAACTCCATTTCTCTCCTCTCTTCTCTCCTAAAGGAAGAGCAACTCCATATAACAGTTATGGTTACTGATAAAAAAATGTTAGACTCAGGGATTTTTGAAATAAAAACGAAGAGAGGAAAAAGAACCAAGATGATTTGTATTGATCATGGGGTATGCTACACTAAAGTGTCATGCTTGTTTTGCTTAGTAGGGACTGGTGTATTAGCTGAATAGTGGAACAATGTTTCTTTTATTTTGCAGTACCAATTAGTAGGTTTTTATTAAGTAGCTAACTTATTGCTGCTTTCAGTGATGATCACATGAGAAATGCAATTATCCAAGGAGTTCCAAGGTTGGAAATTTTCAACTCGTGTTTTACCAGTAAATTTGGTCAGTGGGCATTTGGTTTTTGTGGAGGAATATTTGGAAAGGATAATCCAGGCTGCTTTGATAACACTGCACATGCATTGGAGAGCCTGACCTCTCTTGATTTATCAAATAGATGCATCCACAGTTTGTTCAATAAGGTGAGAGATGGTGCCTTCTTTGAGCAGATGGTGTACTCGTTTTGATTTGTGCTGTTATTATTGTTATTGTTGTTGCCTACACAAAGTGCCATAATTCTGCCACAGAGATGGTGTACTCCTATGAATTGGCCAGTGGCCACATATATGTTCCTCCAGTTCACATTCAGCAGTGTGTTCCACCTCTTGTTAGTGTTTCCATGTTAGGTAACTGCCTAACTCAGGGACTTTTCGAGGAAGCCTGCCTCCTGAACGAGAGAGAGAAAAAGAGAGAGAGAGAGAGAGAGAGAGAGAGAGAGAGAGATTGAATTCCCAAAATCAATAATCCTCTTCTGGCTTCCTTTCCTTATTTATAACACATCCGTTACAATTCTGTTATATCAGCCTCTCCACTTGTCCAGTTTGTTATTTAGTTTGTTCTAGTGGTTGGCTGTCAGTTACATTTCTTAAAGGCTGACGTGGCCTTTTCTTGTACACTTGTCTCTCTATTCCCTTTATTTGTGTCTCAACATTCCACAAGTTATATTGGCCGTTGAAAGTTCCAATTTTTCAATATTAAACTTACCTCAGAAAGGGTTCTGGCTATTTTGCAAGGGTTTCTGGACTGAAAAATGCCCTGTTGAAGGTGTCTTGGTCATTCATTTGCCTTCTCTAAACGACCTGAAAGACCAACTCCCTTAGCACTGTTATTTATCAGCAAAAATCAAAGTTTTATTGACGATAGAAAAAGAATCTTAAGCATATAGTTTGGGGAGTGTGCATAGCATCCCTATGGATCTAGCTCATCTAGGTGGATATAGGCTGGTAACCACCACCTAACCTGAGAGTCAATTGATTAAGCTAACCCAACAATATCCAACAATTCGCTGGGCTGGGGTCCTGGGAACTGTTATACAGATGGGGGGGGGGTTGAATTGAGATCCAGCTTTTGTGCATTCCATTATGCACTGAATTCAAAAAGTACTCTTTGCAATATTGATACTGAACAGGATGGAATGGTAGGACAGGATTCATACAGCCAACCCCATACAACTTCCTGGGTTTTTGTAATGCAGCCCAGGAATTTACTGGGGTAAGCATTAGGTTTATTTGGTTAAAAGCTGAACCAAAAGCGGATTAAGGAAATACCGAAATAGCTGAATTGAATTTCTTATTCAGTTAAAACTGAAATTCATTATATATATTGAATGTATTAATATATAATATATATTATGTATTATATTGAATTGTACTATATTATATTATCCTACAATTAAATTCGGTTAATTTGGTTTTTCCAGTTAACTGAATTTTCAAATATGAGAACCTCTGAAACCGACTGAAATACCCTAAAACTGAAATAACCTAATGAAAAACCGAAACTGAAAATTTTGGTTCAGTTTTCTGGTTTCAACCGAAATATGCTCACCCCTAAATGTGGTCATAAGCCTTCTCAATATCAATCTTGCAAAATACACCAAAGAGCTGCTTCTGATTCTTGAGAGTTAATCAGTTCATTTGCTATTAAAACTCCATTCAAAATCTTTATCATGGGATACAAACACATATGGAGGGAGATACAAACACATATGAATATGACTCGGTGTACTTTTTTAAACTAGTGGGGATTAGACCATCCTTTTTTGAACTCAGTAAGGGGGTGGTGGCGAGGAAAAGAAGAAAGGGAGTTGTATCAACCATCCAGACTGAACTGACCCATTAGCACCAGTTGGTAGAATTAGTAAAGTATCCTCTGAGCCATCTTCTTGCTGTTGAACAGTTGGTAGCATCAGTTTACTTTTTCTGTTTGCAAATTCTTACAATGACTGATTTCAGTCATTAACCATCCAAAACCACCACCTTATTATTATTATTATTATTATTTTGAGAAGAAGTAAAATATCAATTCATTAAAAGGAAAAGTACAACCAGAAGCTGTACAATTGAGGTACAAAGATAGCACTCAAACTACAAAACCAATGGGAGATACAAACAGGCTTTTAAAGTCAAAAAGAGAACTGTAAAAAGGAACTGTCGACTTTTAACTGAATCGAAGACCAGGAAAACAGCTTCCCCACAACCTTCTGCCACACTTATTATGTTTGAACATGGATCAGACAAGTAAGTACCGATGGTTTTGTCTATGAAAAACAATTCACTGGGACTATTGATCCAAAAAAAAAAAAAAATCAATGGGACATCTTTCTGACTTTCTCCCTAAATGTCCTTTTTCCACTATCTCAATCTCTCAAAAGCAGTTCACCTATCTATTCCTTATCTCCCTCTATCTGTTTCTCATCCCATTTACCAACACACCTTGACGACGAATTATTTAACAAAAATTGAAATTGACAAATTGTTTAAGAATCAAATGTCCAAAACTACTTGGCCAATGACATCTAGTGACCTTAAGATACATTTGAGAAGAGGCACAAACACAGTGAAAGACAGACAGACACATGAAATACAAGCATAGGCTTCAAAGACATTCCAAAACTTTGGAACTTTTGAAAATTTCCACTCTAACAATCTATATCTGCTCTGCTCTCCAACCGCTTCTGCTTCCGGATGCTTCAGGAATAGATACCTATGATTGCCTGGGTGCATATTGATAAAAAAATGGTTACCTGGATGCATGTTCTAGGGTGCTGTATAGTGTCGAATACTTCAATTTTTAGTAATGTTCCATATCTGGTACTATGTCCATTAGTGCCCTTACAATATTGAGTTACCTAGATAGATACATTATATTTTAACCAGTTCACTGCTGATTCCTCTTCTTTCCCTTTTAATCAGGCATTCTCTGCTACTGAAATGCCATCTCTCTCATACTTGAATCTTCGGGGAAATCCACTGGAGCAGAATTCTGTTAATGACTTACTAAAACTTTTGAAAGAATTTACTTGTTTACAAGCATTGGAGGTATATATTCTGAAACTAACATGGTTGTTCTATACATGTGAAGGAATAACTCATCATATTTAATATTTATTTTATTTTCCAGGTGGATATTCCTGGTCCTCTTGGAGGCGATGCACTTGAAATTCTTCAATCTCTTCCTAATCTTTCTCAGTTGAATGGTGTTAATGCATCAAAAATTATAGAGGCTGGAAAGCATGTAATAGATTCAATGCTTCTGCCACGTATCCCTGAATGGACTGCTAATGAACCTCTAGTTGATCGGGTTATTAATGCTATGTGGTTATATTTGATGACATATAGACTAGCAGACGAGGAAAAGATCGATGAAACATCTGTGTGGTATGGATTTGCTTCTTGACTCTCTTTTCTTTGGGTAATACTATCATCTTGGTTATATTGATGTATGAGGTGTAGGTCAATATAGTATCTAGGCCTGCATGTGTTCTATGTCATGGGTCACATTGTATGCCAGTCCTAGGAAATTCTTATCTCTCTCTCACCATTTATGATTCAACTGCAGCTGGTGGAAAAGAATAAGATCAAAATAACTTAATAAAGGTTAGTCTAAGAAACAATTTTATTAGCTACTTGTAATATAGGAACATTGATAGGAAAGATTATGGGATCATTATAAACAATGAAGAGAAGGATTAATATGGTATGTGTAGAGAAGATTGGCCGAATGACCCATAGGCTGTTTATCCTTTTTTTATCTTTTATGTTCTTTGCTGTAATGGGCCTTAATCTGGGCTTATTTTTTCTTATGTTATGTCTTTTTAATTTTCTGCCCAACTAGGGGCTTCTCTGTAAATTACCAAAGTTTAACTTAATAAAATAGAATTAAGGGTGTAAGAGAAGAGATTATGTTCGAAAATCTCTCTCTCTCTAAACCCAAGTTGCCGCCACCTTCTTCTTCTTCTTTTCTCCTCTTGAACTCTGATTTCTGCTACTTTCTTTTGAACTTTTGCATCTTTCTAAACAGTCCTTTCTTCTCAAAAGGCTGTTTTTCTTCTGTATGTTTACAATAAATTAAATGGAAGGAGAAAAGGCTAAGGAAATTGATGATGGTTATACCCATCTACTCTCATCATATGCATCAAAGGTATCTTTAGTGGTAGACATGCCTTTTCTTCCCATCTATTTTTTCCTTTTTATGGGATATGGATTTAAAGCCTATTTTAAGGATCCATCAGATATAGGAGAATTTATCAAACAATTAAACAGATTGAATCAAATTGATTCAATATTTGAGTCTGATTCATTGACAGCCTGTACTCGTCTCACATACATATTCCTTCTTTTTTTTTTTTTTTTTTTTTCATATATTTTTTCTCTACCTGGAATTTAATGATAGGGATGTCATGAAAGTTTCACTGAATTTTTCAGTTGGGCTTGGTCTTGTGCTAATCTCTTTTTTTTTTTTTTTTTTTTTGAGAAATGGTAACTTTACATATTGCTTTTTGGTGTTATATGCCCCCAAGAAAAAAAATAAAGAAAAATCATTAGTTACCTACATCTTAAGGGATTATGCCATATTCTTCTGGGCTGTTTCGGATTGTGCCCCTGCTCTCTAGCCTGGACAGTTTTGGGTTTTTTCTCTAAGGTTCTTAATACAATCCACAGTTATTTATCAAACTTCTTTAGGAGCAACTCTTATATCCCTTTTGCACAGCCTGAAGCTAGTATATTCAGCAGGATGAGAATGTTTGGAGGTTGAAGGAGATTTCAAGGTGGTAATTGGCATAATTCCAATATACTTGGGAACTTCTACATTGTATGTGAGAAGCAAGACCTTTGGCACATAGATTGATTATCTCATTCTGGTGCACTCCAAGATCAGCAAATGGCCATACTGACTTTTTATTAAGGCTTTTATGAGGAGGTACTTAAGGGCCAGGGGCACAACCGATTGATTTTTTTTTCTTTTTTTTTTTCACCTGTGATTTCTTGTTGTATGTTTTTTCAAGATTGGCAGTTTTTATGCTGTATTTTAGCCCCCTCTCTTGATCTTTGAAAGGAAGGGGTTTAAGTTTTTGGATGTTTTTCCTTTTTCAATTTTCACTAAATCAATAATGCTCTTCAATTGCCATTATTCCTTTTGTTCTTTCTCATCTTTAGTAATGTTATTTATTTTATTTCCCTGTGCTAGTTACATCTTCAATTGCTACTAGTCTAAATTCACCAAAACTCATTCATATGGCTAAACTGATGTTGGTTTTCTTTTTTCTGCCCACTAAGTTCAAATGATTCATTGATTTGACATTACCCACATTATTTGTAAACTTAATCCGTTTACTCCTTGGCATATGATTGCTCTATTTAGTAGGCTTGACAAATCTTCTTATTAAATTAAATAAGCCTTGGCATAAAGAAATTTCTTTTCTCACCTCATAAAGATAGTGATGTGTTTCTGAATGTATTATAGGTATGTGATGGATGAACTAGGTTCAGCTTTGCGCCATAGTGATGAACCAAACTTCAGGGTGTCTCCATTTCTCTACATGCCAGAAGGGAATTTGGCATCAGCAGTGAGGTACTTTCTTTATCTTTCTTGTTCTGCTTTTGCTGGATTTTCAGAAATCCTATCCACGTTTTCAATTAATATTTAGTAATAATTCTCATAGAAAAAAGGTAATCCTAGTAGTTAGTAGGTAAGCTATTATGATTGTGTTCTAGAGCAAGTAACTTTGTAGGCATTAGGGGTTGTGGCGACTTATACTAATGCACTTTCATTTCTTATCCTTCTTTATTCTTCTTTTCTTTTCTTTCTAACCTCCTGCAAAATTTAGCGAAAGATCAACACGTTTGACTTGTATAAAATGTTTCCAGCTTTTCTATCTTATGGCCAATCCAGAATGTTCATAGAGGTGATGAATGTACCCGTGATTTTTTGCTTGGTATTGGAGAGGACAAGCAACGATCTGCCAGGCTTACCGCTTGGTTCCATACACCAATAAACTATTTCATCCAGGTAATTTTATGTCTCCTTTTACAAAACTAAATTGGCATCCACTATTTTGGAATGATTGGTTTGCTTCTATTCTTCAGGTATATGAAAAATACTTCCAGCAACTTTGTTCAAAAGCTACTTCCTTTACGTGCACGAAGGGGTCCCCTGCCAGAAGTTTATTTCGAAATGATGGTTCTGTTCTCCGTGTTTATACGGATATACCTCAAGTGGAGGAATTCTTGACACGCCCTGAATTCTCACTCAGTATGCTCCATTCTTGTTCAGTTTTTGCCAAATTTTTGCACTTTAATCTGTTATTTTATTCCTTTTTTTATTTTTACTTTCCTCTTTCTCACTTGTGTTTCTTTAAACAGTTAAGCACTTTGTGGAAATTTAGGTATTCTCCCTGATGTTCTGAAAATTTAGTAAAGTATCCAATTGCATGGTTCTATTCTAGTGTTATTGTTAGTAAGTTCAGGGACGGCAGAAGTATGACATAGGACATGCTTGGGTTTATCATTTGCTGTAGGCTTTAAGAAAACAAAAAGCAGAAAATCTCCAACATGATTGCATTTGGATATAATATGATTTTTTTTTTTCAAATGCCAGCATAAACAATTTGGATATATACTACATAAGATGTGTGTGCAAGTTTATGTATATTCATGCGAATTCGGATTAGCTGAATGCTCTAGCTGTTCAGCAGGCTGTGGAACCAATAACAATGCTCCACGCCAGTGATAAAATACATGGGGCCCATGCTGACAGGTTGAGTGGTTGTGGGTCCCATGTATTTTATGACTGGTGTGGAGTGTTATTATTAGTTCCACAGCCTGTTAAACAGCTAAAACATTCAGCTAATCCTATCTCTATTCATGCACATTTGTGTATTATATGAGACCATGATACATACTAAAATGTCATAAAAAAATACATTATACAACTAATATGTAAGAAATAAAATAAAAGGCTGATAAAAAGTATGTAAGAAATAAAATAACATAGAATTCCAAATTACAAAACAGTTGTGATCAATCCAATTACATAGTCTTTTACTAGGAAAAGAAAATCACTCCTGATATAGAAATAATCTTAAATGATGAGACAACCTAAACCTAATGAATGTAACTTTCCCAGACCACTCAGAATGCAATTATTGGAAGATGTATCAAGATTCATTTGATTCCTCTCCATTTTCTACATTTATAATGCCTATAAAAGTCTTAAATCAATATTCCATTCTGAAGAGAAATCTGAATTATCAAGTACTGTCATTACCTCCTTGTTGAATTTTGCCTATCTTTGAGCAATGCAACAACTTTTGATGGAACTCTGCAATACTATTGTATGACATTGTGAGTTCTTTTACCTATTTGTATAGGCCTGTGGTGAGATACCGCTCACCTCGGAAGCCCCTTCGAGGGTGGCTTAACCTYCTGAAACAGAAGATGGAGGGGAAGAAGAGAAGGGAAGGTAGGAAAGGAGGGACTCAGTGAGAGAAAAACAAAGGGATATTCATTCACACCTTTCATTATATGAGTATGGCCTTATATAGCTGGCCTACAGGTGTAATCATAGAGGGAATATCCTCTGATTTACAGGGTAACTAACTCTGGAAAATATCATGGAGGGAATATCCTCTGGCGGCAGAGTAACCAACTCTGAGTGTAACTAACTCTGGGGCTCTGTCACATGTCCTTTCTGCCTCCTTGTGAACTGCTGATGGGTGGTGGTCTGCTCCACTTCCATGTTGGGTTCGGAGGAAGTATTTGAGTCCCAACAGCCTGTTTGTCTGCGATTAAATTGCGAACGCTAGAGATTCTCTGGATGGGCCTTGAGGAATGTCCAGCCCATGCCATGATTTTGTAGCCAGTCATTCTTAGCTATTTCATTCTTGTATCTCTTAGCAATTATGATGCTTGAATCTGAAGTAAATAAAAGAATTTAACTATGGATAAGAACTAAATAAAGAGTATGTTAATAACAACAAATTCATCATGGAGATGGATGCAGAACTAAATAAATAAAAAAAATCAACTTCTCTACATGCTAGAATTTTCTTAGTCACACGTATCCTCTTTGTAGCTTTGTGCGAAAAGCTTGACCATTCTTATCCTGCTCTTGTTGACTAGAATTGCCCTGTACTCCTTTGGTTCTCTTGGTTGGTAAATTAAAATTTCTAGTTGCTTTCATGTGTGGTTGCTTTTTGGGTCCTTGTCGCCATTTCCTTTGCCTGTGAAGTTTAATATCACAACTTAGATGATACTCTGCATGGTTTGTTTGCTTGCAGCATCTGATCCAAAAGAAGCAGATATCATTTGGACAAGCATGCAAGTGGATGAGGAAATGAAAAAAACTACTGGAATCACAGAAAATCAATACATAAACCAATTTCCTTATGAAGCTTGTCTTGTCATGAAACATCATCTGGCAGATACACTTCAGAAGGTTAAGCAGTTTACTCCTTAAGACAATGTCTTGTTGTGATCATGGATTACTAAGCTAAGTTATAAATTAGGGGCATTGACAATTTGGTTGCATGATGGTTCCTCATATGTACTAATCAATGGGATTTTTAATATTCTGCCCATCTATTGTTCTAACAGTTGCAGCTCATCTGTGCTGAGAAAAAAAAAAGGAACAGTTGTAGCTCATCTTGTAATACATGCTTTATGCTGCCTGTTAGCAATTCAACAATTCAAATACTACAAGTAGGATAGTCACTAACCTCAATCATTTTAATTTTCTTCTACAACAGGCACATGGTCGTCCTGAATGGTTCCAACTTACTTATAGTCTAGAAACACATCTATCTGAATTGATTGGTGACTACTATGTACGCAGAAGAGATGGGCTTGACAATCTGTGGATTTTAAAACCATGGAACATGGCACGGACTATTGATACAACTGTTACTAGTGATTTATCTGCTATCATACGACTTATGGAAACTGGTCCAAAAATATGTCAGAGATATATTGAGCATCCTGCTCTGTTCAGAGGGAAGAAGTTCGACCTCCGTTACATAGTTTTGGTTCGTAGCATGAAACCTATGGAGATATTTCTCTCTGATGTTTTCTGGGTATGTAGGTTAAACCTGTGAGCACCATGCAAAACATTGCTTTCATTTATCCAACTTATCTGGTGTAGATGACATTTAAGATGCAATCCTTGACATTGAGCTCTTTTTTTCTCCCCCCAGGTTAGACTAGCAAATAATACATATTCTTTGGACAAGGCCAGCCTTTTTGAATATGAAACTCATTTTACAGTTATGGTAAGTTCCAACAGTTTCTTGGTAGTAGAAAAACCAGCTTCTTTAGCTATAATCCTGAAGTTTTATTTCCCCTTTTTTCCTTTCTTTTTTTTTATTTTGCAGAAGTTCATAAGAAAGTAAGGTTTTGAATATGCTCTTTTATTGGGGGTTCAATTGCAATTTGAGTCAAAGAACACCTGATCAATTTTTCCTGATCCTCTTCGTTAGGATTCTAGCTGTCACATTTTTGCATATATTCCGTCCACACTTCCAGATTACCTTTTCTAATTAATCTTATGGATTTCAGAACTACATTGGAAGACTGAACCACATGAGCACACCAGAATTTGTAATGGAGTTTGAGGAGGAACACCATGGTATTAAGACCAGCCTATATGTGGTTTATAATATTCATCTTTCCATTCTTCCCCAAGCTGATCGAGTGTCTGCAAAACCTTGTGTTGACTATATTTTCACATTCACTGTATTTCTTGCAGTTAAATGGCTGGATATCCATAATAGGGTCCGAAATATGATCCAAACTGTGTTTGAATCAGCTGCAGAAGTCCATCCAGAAATGCATAGTTCAACATCTAGAGCCATGTATGGGGTGGATGTGATGCTGGATAGCTCTTTCCAGCCAAAGTTATTGGAGGTAAGCTATTGAACAAATATGTAGACGAAAGTTTATGTTGGGGGGCCAAAGGACCTATATATTGTTTAGGTCCCTTATTTGACAAATGATCTTTCATTGGCCATATCATGCCTTTTATGGCAAGAATGGGCATAGACATTGTATGAAAAATTTCATGCAGGATTGGAAACAGGGAAAGAATCCATTAAGAAAGAAATCAATTTTCTCCCAATTCCTTGTTGGGTGACAATTTTGTAAATTTTGGGCGATTTGGGTTCTAGTTTTTTATTTTTCCTTGTTAGCTAGTATTTGAAGAAAGGGGTTAATCATGTTTAAAGGGTCGGTTTAGTTTATAGGATTTTATTGTAGAGTAGTTAGAATTTTGAAAAGTTGATGAAATCACTCCATTTTTCTTTCAACCTACTAAGCTTGTCCATTTTTTCTTAAAAAAAAAGGTTGTCCATTTTGCATAATTTTTTGTGTCATTAGATAGGTAATTGAGTTATTTATCCATCAAGACCAAGATCTCATAAACTGGATGTGTTTTCAAGGAGTCGTAGCCTTTTTACTGATAGGGGTCCATCTGTTACAAGATTTTGGTCTTATTATTTCTCTCTTATAGTTGTTTTTTATTTGTTTAGTTGAGTGAAGAGATATCAGAATTCCTTTAGGGGTTAAGAGTCCTTATTTGAGTCATGGGTTTTATATAGGTATATCTTACTTTTGAGAAGTTAGAAGTTTTTAGTCTAGATTAAAGTGAGATCTGAGCCCTTATGTTTAATCTTACAACTGAAGTCATTGTAGTTGGTATTTTAGAGCTGAACTAATGGAATGAAGAGTTTGTTTTGAAATTTCATGGTGGGTTGTGGGTAAGAGTGTTATCTTCTCTCCCTTTTTCTTCTAAGGTTTAATCTTTCTTCTCTTTCTCTCTTATATTCAAATCTGAACTTCTCTTTCATGATTCAAATCCATAATTTCCTTTCCTTATCACATTCATCATAGTAGGACTTCCTTCTTCCCCTACATTAAAATGTTTTTTGTTTAAGTCTGTTTTTCACTTGGTATGTATTCTGCGGTTGGGCCGTCTAGACACTTTGTGGACATGGAGGGTTTTTTTGACTTTTCCTCATAGAAACTTACCTGGGTTCTTTCTGAATTTAAATTGTGTTTGTAATTTCTACATTGTTGCAGGTTACCTACTGCCCTGATTGCACAAGAGCATGCAAATACGATACAAAAGCAGTAATCGGAAGTGGTGGTGTAATCAAAGGTCGGGATTTTTTCAATCATGTCTTCGGTTGTCTCTTCCTAAATGAAACCACTCATGTAACCCAAATATAACAAGCCTTATGCGGGAAGGAAAATATTGTACAATCTGCAAGGTATGTAATTTAGATATTAAATTTTCAGCTGTATAATTGAGTCTTTTTTTGCCTTGGAGGATAAGTGTTATTAGCTTTTTCTTTAGGGCATCAATTTTGCTCTTGAAGTACATCTCCACCCAACACCCAACATGAGAAACCAAGCAGGATTTTGATTATGTGGATAGTAGTTGTTATTGATTTTTAATATACATACATATTTGTTATGAGGTAACTACCTCCAATGAAAAGTATGATTATTGGAATTAATCATATGATTCTTAAGTGAAAACGCATCACTTAAACTAATATATTCTGATTTTGAATTTGAAGCTTGGACGTCTTTACTGTTGAACTTCATTACAGACATCATCCTTGTTGAGCAAATAAGTTTCTGATCCCCCTCTTCCTTTTCAATAAGCTAATCGTCACTAAACGACCAAGTTCTTTTCCTGGTTCTTTCTTTGCTGATATCAATTGCATTGTAGTTCTTCATTGATGGTTGGAGCTTGGAATTTGAATTTGGGTTCTCATCGAAGGTGGAATTAAACCCACCAATGAATGGCACTTACGTTACCTGGTATAAGATATTTATTGCAAAAGAGGGCGGTGGAGTTTTTATGGCAATATTCTTGGATAAGTAAGACGATCACCAAGAGACACTCTTTACATGGCTGAGGTGGAACATTAGTTTTTGAAAGCAATAAATAATGAAAAATCAAATAAATCACACAAAATTGAGAGGGTTAAAGATTTTGAAGAGAGGAACTGGTGAGCTGACAGCTGCGTATGTACGAATGTACATGTGTGTGCGCAATTGAATTGATTTAAGTTGGGCTATTATTGTTAGACTCTGGCCAGGCTTTGTACCCCTAACCAAGGTTCAAAATATTGATAATACACTGTTAAGGCGTATCGGCCTGTATAAGTACTGTTTTTTATGTGTTTTTTTTTTTGAAATTGGTTCAGAGGGGCTGGTTTAAGGCCAGTCTACCCCTGAACCACTCACCGTGACGAAATTTTGATCCTTGCCTAACATCATGTCGAAGTCGATCCAAACCTCAATTCTGATCTTAACTTTAATTTTAATCCAATTCAATCATATTTGGTTTGGTTTATTTTGACATAATTTCTTCACTTTTTTTTTGTTTTCATTTTTTTTAATGCTTAAAGTTATTAATGGGATTGTGAGCTCCTAAATTGCTGAATTTTGAGTTGTAGATCATATCTACATGTTAAAAGCAAGGTTATCCATTAATCCATGTTGTCATGTTTTTTAGTTAAAACACTATTAATATTTTTATTTTTAGTCATTAACTTATATGTTCATATTCAAACCATTTATAATTAGATCAAATATGGATTCATGCCTATTGATATAATCATATTAGATTCTGTTTAAATATATATGTTCATATATATTAAAAATTTATATTTTTATGTATTAGTAAAGTTGATTTGAATGTTGTGTACAAGCTTCATACAAGTAATTCTAACTTCTTATATACTATTCAATGTCCGATTGCAAACCAAATTATAGTTGAATGTTATATCCGATGGACAAGATCTTACTACTTTGAATATTTTTATCCATTTACAGCCTTACCCCTAACAATAGAAGTTTCCTCCTGTTTCCGGTGATACTCCGTACACATAAGGAAATGCATAATGTGGTGTGATTATATCAAATTAAAACAATCCTGTTGTGGTTATATCAAATTAAATAATTTTTGGGCCAAACTGTCAAATCATTTATATGATGCTCTGCATGGAATTATAACATAGAAGTAAAATAAAAAATTGGGTTGTTTTACCAACAAAATATATTCTAATCATCAACCAACTTGATCTAACACTGCATATCTCACATGAGGCTGGAACCCACCATGTATGAGATGTGCAGTGTGGAGGTCATGTTGATAGGTTGTTGGAATGAATTTTGTTGACAGGTGATCCGGTCTCTAAAATTAATGGGCAAAAGAATCATTGAAGGAAGAACTAAACAAGGTGGACTCATCATTAATTAACTAAAATTAATTTTGATAGTAACGAAATGGAAATTAACAGATATATACATAGGTATAGATGGAGGAGAGGAGGTTAGGACTTGGGAGATGTTGAGCCTCCTGGTTATCTGTTCCACTTGGTTGAACTGGAGAAACAGATACGTGATTGGTCCAGCTTTGTATTATTCCATAGCTTTTTGTAGTTTTTTTTTGATAAATTGCAAAAACCCCTTTGTGTGCAACTGTGATAATCATCCGCTGAACTTTCACTTTGCCTTAATATACCCATGGCCATCAAGTCAGATAATAAAATGTACTAAACTATCAAAATATCTACATGAACTTGTTTTCTTTTTCTTGTCTTTTTATCTTAAACCTTAAATGACCCGAAAAAAAATTGAATACCTCCATTTTCTCCAAGCAAAACCGGCTAAAATAATAAGAATCAATTTATTGATATACAAAACAAATTTGTTTAAATTATTGTTTCAATGAACTTTTCATCTTAAAATATAAAAACTATTTACTCATTTCTCCAATGAACCAAGAAAAAACAAATGAAACTTTAAATTTATATTTAGGCTGTGTTTGGTTGCAATGCAAATAAATTTGCACTGATGCAAAACCATGACCGTGCAAATGATTTGAGTGTATATTCTGCCCTATTTTTGATTAAAATTTTAACTTATTTTGTTTGATTGCAGTACAAAAGAAGTAAATTAAGACGTGAAACAAAATAGAGTAAAATTCAAAACAAAATTAAACAAAAATTTGCATTTTTTACATTTGCACTCCCTTGCATTTGTATTAATGCAAATTTATTTGCACTGCAACCAAACACAGCCTATCAAAAAAATCTCCACCATTTCATTGAATATTGAATCCAACCTGAAATCTGCAAGGAATTATTAGAGTAATCAAGAGGACTTTCATATTACATTTAGAAAACCAAATAAATCAATTTATTCAAATAAATAAACAAGAAAAAGGGTAATTTAAAGATTTAAAAACTTTTAAATAACTCGACCGAACTTTAATTCAGGGAGTATTTATCACAAATGAAAGTTTATGATGTAATTGTCACTAATCCTATAATACAGGGGTTTTTGTAATTTTACCCAGTTTCAGTTCGAACAGCAGAACAGCAGAGGCTCAGCCGCTCAGGAATGACACCAAAAGGAAATCTGAAATCATACATTACAAAGACCATCTTAATTTCGGTCCATCCAAGCCCTCCGTCTGTGCGACCCCATCAAAAAGAAAGGTGTTGATCTTTTGAATGTCTAACACGTGGCGAGTTAGCAAAGCCCAGACAGCAACTACGAGTCATGTGTCCCTGAGCCAACTCCTACCCCCAACACTCTCCGGTTTATAACAGGGAATAACAATCAACGATTGATACCTTGGTGGTTCAAGAAAATTGAGAAATCGGACGGGCAAGATAATAGTTAGACCACGATCGGGTCCATTCATCCGCTGCTCTAGGATTGTCTTTCAGTCACAAGACTCATCACACCTCAACATAGTTCTAACTTCAGCGGGAAAGGGAGAGGTCATACCGTCGTAGAAAGATTTCAATCTCCGCATCTTCTGTATTTGTTTTACCATTTTTTCCTAAAAATTGACAACAAAGAGAACCCTAGAAGATGTCTCACGATAGACACTCTTTGTCTACTTCTATAACTCCCGAAGAAAGCAATCTGTAAGTTTCTCACGATAGACACTCTTTTGATAATTTGCTCCTTCAATTCTATTTGCAGGACCTGATCCGTAGCACAACACAGTCTGATGTATTTATTTTATCCTCTCAGTTCTTTAAGTTAATGGGTTTGATTGTTTATATTTTCTAGCAGTTTCAATTCAATTAGCTGGGACTTCATGATTTTAAAGATGTAGTTCATGAATTTGAAGAATTCACCCTAATAAAGACAATGCCACAAGGAGATCGTCAGAATTGGTCACCTGTAGGTGCTTTTGATATTTTGCACTTGTTAATCTAGGACGGATTTCTCTTCTATCAGTTCTGGGATTGATTTGATACTCACTTTAGAAGGGAAGAACTCCTTCCACAATTTAATTGGAAATTGGAATTTTAGCATTGACCATAGGCTCATGACAATTGACACATTACCATCTTGCATTGATTTAGTTATAAAATGTTATTCGCCCTAATGTTATCTAATATAACTGGTTGTTTCGGGTTATCACATTGTTACTTATTAATCAATGAAGAAAAAGAAAGAGAAGAGTAGGAGAAGAAAAGAAAAAAAAGAAGAATGAACAGGCAGAAGTATTCAACTCACTTTTATCTCCCTCACTATTTTTCTATACAAGAACTTTGCATATAGTAAGAAGGTCCACCACAAACTAAGTAGATGCTTTTCTGCTAAGACAAGCTGAAGCAAATGCAATACCCAATTACCCATCCCAACTATATGGGGTTGGCTACATGTTCTGCCATTCCGTTTTGTTCATTGCCATAGCATTTGTTAAATTCTAAACCCTTAAATCATTTCTTACCATTTCAACTTATGCCCTTTTTGGTTTGCTTCCTAGCTCTTCTAGCCCCCTGAACTTGTGACAAATCACCTCTTATTGGTGTTGTAGATGGTATTCTCTGCACATAACCAAACCGACTTAGTCTACTTTCCCTCATTTTGTTACTTACTGGGGCTACTCCTATGTTCCTTTAATAACTTGTTTTTGATTCTATTTTTCCTAGCTTTCTCACTCATCTGTCTCAACATATGCAGCCAAATTCGTTTTATGGACATGTTGCCTTTTTCATTGCCCAACACTCTATTCCATACAACACTGCTGGTTTTACAACCGTCTTATAAAACTTTTCTTATAGCCCAAGTAGTATCTTCTATAACATGACACTCTGGATGAAGCCTTCTATTTTGCCCACCTTACTCTAATTCTATGGGTGACATACTCCTTAATCTCTCTCTTGTTGTAGATTCTCAAACTAAGGCAAAGGAAGATGTCACATTGAGTTATTTTTCTCCCAAAAATTTCAATAGAAATCTTTTTGTACACAAATTCATCAACTAATATTTTTATATATGCTGTTTTCTCCCAAACAAATTATTAACTGTATCATTGATTATAAAAACTTAATCATTTTCAAATGTTTCTCCAGTGGTACTCTTGTGGTGCATGCATTTGCTTCCTATATTTAGAACTGCAGTCTGATGCATGTTATCTATGTTGCAAATCAAGGAAATTTATTTTCTTTGTTTTCTAACTGAGGGCCATCTTTCCTGCTTCAGGTTTGTTGACATATTGCATGAGGCCCCTTTATATGGTCATCGTAAGCCTACAAGGATTCTTGGGAGTGCTCTGTATTGTTTTTTGTTGGCAAGTACAAGCTATGCTTTGTGAAAGTGCAACTGTCTTGCATGATTAATCCTATTCATATAGAACATTTATTTCTTGTATTATTTCTTTATTCTGAGATAATATCATAAACTTCCTTTTAAGGAAAGCTATCAATTGTTGATTCTATTTCCATTTCTAGGCAGGTTATGCTGTTGTGGCTGTTGCAGCTCCATGGATATTTCTCCCCATACAGAAGTTGGTCCCGCCATTGCTTTGCAGTTGTAATGCTGCTCTTTTGATTGTTACAGGTCTTGTAGTGGAGCTTCACTTGCTAAGATAGTTTCATTCTTTTATGAGCTTTTTGGTGACATAACTAGAATTTTCCATTTTTGATGTCAAGCATGTGTAGTCAATTACATTTAAATAGATTTAATCTATCATATAAATTATTTTCAAATATAGAAATTTTCATGACAAGAATACAGGAGTTGCAGAAGCAGTGACCTCCCCAAACTCTTTCTCTTTCTCTCATTCTCTTCCCTCTCTCTCTTCTTTCACTTCTCTTCTCTCCCTCTATCTCTCTCTACATCATCCTCAACATCTACCGCTGACTACTATTTTCATAGACACACCTGTTTCATCTAGTACTCTCGCCTGAAATCAACGATCCGATGGTTTTCCTTTCATCTTCACGATAGTGACCCACTTCACATAGCACTATACATCGATTTCAGGGCAGTCCCCTGTTTCAAGATTCCCAATCATCGATTTCAGTTTCAGAGCTACTCTTTTCGTTGCTGGTAGCACTATACATCAAAGAGTTTAAGAAATAGTAAGAAAAGGAGAATTCAATTGCTACTTGTAATCCCATTGTTACAGATCTTGGCATCCCATTGTGAAGTGATTCTCGACAACAAACAGGTTTGTAGCCGATGCCTATATAGGGAAGTGTGACAAGGTTTGGCCTACTGACCATATGCTGATCAGATATTGAGATTTTCTCTGGTTATTAAGAAAATGCCAAGATTGAGACTTAGTGAATGGAAAATGATTTGGTTGTTTACATGGTACATAAATTTAAGAATGCCAGCTTTTTGTGTTGTTTGAAAAATGTGAGAGCTAGATCTATATGATGTTCTGGTTCCTTGATCGCTGAACCCACAGAATACAAGATCCATGTTTATATTCAGAGAACACAAAATGTGAGAGATGGTTGTTTACATGGTTCCTGGGTTGGCTTCTATCCAATCACCCTCAATCTTATGACAATCCATCTACAACTATAGGGGAAAAGGAGAAAAGGGGGAAACTGTAGAAATAAGGGACACCATGTGTATGATTTGTATCACATGGACTTAAGCTTAAAGGATAAAATTGGCAAGAGGTTGAGTGCTCGGGGTGAAGATGTTTCGAGGTAGATCTCTTCGGAAAGATCAGAGAGGTGGAAGGAGATGGGAAGCTAGGAATTGGTATAGGGGTGTAGAGAAGGGGGCGAGGAGGAGACCGGACTTCTCTTACAGTAAGGCGGTTACGACTAGAGTTTGGCCGAATTTTGGGCAGTCTGAAATCAAGAAGGTGGAGGACAGACAAATGATATTTATAGAGTCCCAAGGCGTAGAGGCTAGAAGGAGATTCCTGAGAGATTGCTTGGTGGGAAGATTTCAGTGGAGGGCGGGTTTTCAAGAAGTGGAAAAATGGGTAAGTAGATGTTGGGAGGAGGTGGGAGGAGTGAAAGTAAAGAAATTAGCCGATGACCTCTTCTTGTTCATATTCTCGTCGAGGTCAGCGACGGCTTGGATCCTTAAGCAGGGTCCAAGGAAAATGGGGAGAAATCATCTCTTTCTGGATTGGTGGGGGGCAAGTTCTGGCTGCTTCTATCCGGAATCAAGCGAAGATTCAGACCGCTCAAAAATCATCTGGGTGAGGGTGTATGGTCTTCCTCTGATACTGTGGTGCCCGAGTGTGATCAAGAACATAGGGGATGCTTGCGGTGGTTTCGTGGAAACCGATGACTCCCCTGAAGAGCTTTCAACCTGTGGGTGGGTTCGAATGAGGGTGAAAAGGTCTGGGAAGATTCCTGAAAAAGTGGAGGTTGTTGTGGGGGAGTCGGTATTCGAAATCTGTGTTTAGCCTGAGTCGCTGCCGACGGTCCAAAGTTGGACGCAAGAGATTCATGAGAACAATCAGTTCCGATTGCAGGGAAGGAGCTCGGAAATCTCTAACACGGTGGTCCTAGAAGACGAGGGAGAAAGCTCATTGCCGCAAGAGTTCCATAAAAGGCCATTGGGTTTCAAACCGCCATTGAGTAGCTCGCCGGAGGTCGACGGAGGGGAAGAAGATGGTCGTGGGATCAATATGATCCGTCCACAAGCAGTTCCGCTGGATGGCCAGGATCGTCCTCAGGTTGAGTGCTTTGAATCTTGCACGCCAGAATTAATGAAGGGAAGAAGTGGGGATTTTCTGAGGGTGGAGGATTTAAAAACTCTCATAAAGCAATGCATTAAAGAACTACACACGAAATCAGACGTGGAGGTCTCGAGGTTTAAGGGGAGGGAGGCTCGACAAGGGGCCGGATCGGATTCCAAGGAAGATGAGGAGATTCAGATTTGGACTCAGGTTCCGGATCCGGGTCAAGCTAGATTTAAGTCCTTGTCTACCCGCTTTACTCAATTGGCGAAGAAACTTGAAGGTAAAAAGTTTTTTAGTGAGCCTCGGTGGCCCACTGGTAGACAAACAAATTACAGTCCGGTTCGGTTGGAACCGACTTGGGTTAGTCTGCCATCCAAACAGCAGTTGAATCCAAGTGTTGGTTCTCCTCTAGCCTACATTCCTAGCCCTAATAATATGGCGATGGGTGATCTGAGTCAGGCTGCTACTTCATCTCAAAAAGTTCGATCTTCTTCAAAAGGTGTGTGGGAGATGGACTATAGGCAGCAACAAAGTCAAGAGCTGCCTCTGGTGCCAGTGGAAGAGATAGTGGAAGAGACTCTGTTGGTGGCGACCCCTATTGCGGTGGTGGGTAATGAGGTTCATAGTGGGAATGTGGGAAATTGTCTTGATCAATCCAGAGAGTTGGGAAATAGTGGTGTAAGCCCCAAGCAAATGAGGAGAAGCAATGGAGAAGTCTTGTTAGGAAACAAGGGGAAAGCGAGTTCATCAGCCGCGGAGGTAGGCAAGGACAGTAAGTCTGAAACTAATCATTCTTCTTGGGTGACATCGAAACTTCTGGGGCTGGGGACTTTCCTGGGAATTTCGATGGAGGGGATGGAAGCTGATACTATTAAGTTCTTGGAAGGAATTGAATAAAGAGTGCTTATGGAGAGGGGAAAATTGGCGGCAAAAAAGGGGGACTAAAAACAAAGAGAAGCAGAGAAGTGATGAGATTAACTTGGTGTCTAAATGATAAGGCGGGGAACAGTGAAGGGGCTGCAAGGGGGTCTAAGAAGATGTGAAGTGTGGGTCCTTTTCTTTAGTTTTTTCTTATGGAAGTGAAAATTCTTTCTTGGAATGTTAGAGGACTGGGGTCGGGAAGGAGGAGGAGGATGGTATGTGATTCTTTGAAGCAATCGAAGTCTAAGATTGTCTTGCTCCAAGAAACTAAGCTAGAGTGGGTTGATGCTGCTACAATTCGAAGTGTTTGGGGGGGAGGGTCAGGTCAGATGGAAGGCCTTGGCTGCCTTGGGGAGTGCTGGTGGAATTGTGAGCCTTTG